AAGGAAGAAACTAAAAAGAAACTGAAAATTTAGTTTTAGGACAGAGCTGAATGAAGTTATGGGAGAAATCAAAGCCAAGATTGTTGCATAAGAAGTTCCTTCAGTCCTATGTTCCTACAAATAATGAACATAAATGAAAGCCGTTGGACTGAAATTAATGGTGAGCTCTTCTGACAACTACCCAGAAGTAGGTCCTTCAGGTTATGCTACTGAGGCTTGAAATAAGACCCGCCTGGTAAAAGCTTTCATTTTCTTTGCTGTCCCCAGGAAAAAGGCTTGAGAAACCCAATCTTGACCTAGAGCATTGACTGGAGTCATGTTATAGAAGCCATAGGAAGGCAACTGATGCTCTTGTCTTATACCATTACTGCCTTCACAGAAGCTATGGGAAGGTAGTACTGGTATAAGAAATTTTCATTCGGATAACTAGAAGTGTATCTGTGTGTCACTACTGTGTAGGCTCTGGGAGCTGAACAGAAATGGGCAAGGGATGTGATTTCATCATCTGTAGGCTTTTCAATTCTACTCCTTCCCTGTTTGACTCCAAATCCTGTTATCACTGTGGTCACTCTAGTCCCCATCTCTGCTGGATTCTCCATAGGGTGAGCTCCAGGTGAGCCTAGGAACGCTGTGGGATCAGGAGAAAGGGAGGAACTGAGGCTCACATTGCTTCTTGTGGGCCCATACTCCTGCTTACCTGCAGCTGTGGCTTCGCTTTGAATCCCACCTGCCCTTGAGGAGTGGCCGTGTGAGCAAAGGAGTTGGCCCATGGTTAGCCTGGCCCTGCTGATGGCAGACAGCATAGATGAGACTAAACATTTCTGTGGCTCCTTCAGCCTGTGACAATCCTTTGACTTGTATTTAATTAAAGAGTGTACAGAATGGCTTTCTTTGCAGTAGCAGACTGTGCAGTAATCCTCTAACAATTGTTGGGATCTGGCGGGAAGGAAAACTCTCATTAATAAAGACTTTGGGGATCACGCCGCATGAGAGTTGCTGCAGACTTCAGAGCTGCAGGAAATCACATCCAGAAAAACATTCCCTTTGTCTTTCTGCTCAAGTCTTCAGAGTGTGTGTGCGGGAAAAACAACCCCTGACGTACCCACCATGATTTTCACGTTATCTTGGGCATGCCAGGAGGGCTTAGCGAAGGAGGGGTTACTGAGTTTCAGCTTCACCCGCAGTGGGTATGCCCAGGAAGCTGGGTTACTGTTCACTACCTGATGTTAATGTGAGCTAACCAAAGCTGGTCATGCTTTCCCTTTATCTACACTTTTTGGAGGGGAAGTGTGAATTAGTGTAGTCCTCAGCCCCATGTCTGCGTGGCCAGTTGCCCACTGCAGTGAAAGATGCCAAAGCACAGAATCTCTGCCTTTTCCACAGGAAAAAAAAAAAGAAAAACCAAATAAAAGAGAACAACACAGGAAAAAAACCAGACCTGGAGAAGAAGTAAAGTGAGTTTGTACCAAGCAGTCTATAAAATCTACTTCAAGCTTATCTAGGAGGAATACACAAAGGAAAGAGAGTTATTTAGCCCCTCATCCCAGGGAAGATCCCCCTTGGCAGGCAAAACTTGCAGCTCTCAAGGGGTCTTTTCAGCCGTGAGCTGGGACGTAAATTAAGGCAGCTGAACTTGTTGCCCTGCTGACTCTCATGCCAGCTGAGCTGATGACCTACCAGCAAAGAGAGACACACTTTTCTGTTTCCTGATGTTGCCCAAAACTGTGCTTTTTAATTTATTTTTTTAACTCCATCTGCCTTTGTTAGCTTATAGCAATGACGGCTGTGATATGTGAGGGTTATTAGTGTTATCACTAGGGAGGTAGAAGGAGGGTTGCTGTGATTGTTTGGGTTATTTATTTACTTGTTTAGTTAATGTGGAAAATGAGCCATAAACTATAAGGCCTCCAATGTGATTCTGTTTTTTGACCTTGATGATTCAATTAAAGGTCTTCAGACATTAAATTCACACATCACTGACCTTCTCCAGCTAAATAGTAGGTATTTTAGTTTGAACTGGTCCAACTCCAGTCAGTGAAGTAGTACGAAAGCCTTCAGGGCTGATGCTCGCTAGCTCCCTGTGGAGTAGAAGGAATGGTAAAAATAATTTCAGATTAAAATATACAGCTTTTACCCAGCTAAAATGAAGGAAGATGTGGCAGAGAGAAGGTGAAATACATCCCACTCTTTGTTTGTTTATAGAATCATAGAATCATTTAGGTTGGAAAGGACCTTTAGGATCATCAAGTCCAGCCATAAATTAACCCTGCCATCCCACCACTAAACCCTGGCCCGCAGCACCTCGTCTGCCCGGCTTTTAAATCCCCCCAGGGATGGGGACTTGACCCCTTCCCTGGGCAGCCCATTCCAGTGCCTGACAGCCCTTTTGGTAAAGAAATTTTTCGTAATGTCCAACCTAAACCCCTCCCCAGCTCCGCTGCCCTTCTCTGGACACGCTCCAGCCCCCCCAGGTCCTTCGGGGAGGTAGGGGCCCAACCCTGACCCCAGCATTTGAGGGGTGGCCTCCCCAGTGCCCAGGTCACTGCCCTGCTCCTGCTGGCCATGCTATTCCTGATACAAGCCAGGATGCTGTTGGCCCTCTTGGCCACCTGGGCACCCTGCTGGCTCATATTCAGCCGGCTGTCAGCCAGTCCCCCCAGATCCCTCTCTGCCAAGCAGCTTTCCAGCCACTCTTCCCCACGCCTGTAGCGCTGCATGGGGTCGTTGTGACCCAAGTGCAGGACCCAGCACTTGGCCTTGTTGAACCTCATACGATTGGCCTCAGCCCATCAATCCAGCCTGTCCAGATCCGTCTGTAGAGCCATCCTGCCCTCAAACAGATCAACACTCCTGCCCAACTTGGCATTGTCTGCAAACTTACTGTTTGTTTTCTTTTAAGTATCTAGTAGTGTTCTAGAGAGCTTAATATATATGAGGTATCTGTTTCGGGGTTGGCAGACCTAGGATTTACATGGGGCCGTGCCCCTTAGAATGAAAGCTGTTGGCCAAGAGGGATGCCCTAGGACATCTCAGCTGAGGCTAGATACCTCTGTTTGGGAGACTAAATCCCACCTCAGTATCTGGCTGTGCTTGAAGGAAGTGGGGATCGGGCATCTAAATACTCCTTCAGTCAATGGAACCACCCACCTTGCTTAAAAGCTTGCAGCAAGTCAACACCAGCACCGCAAATGCTAAGATCACCTGTATTTTGGTGGTTTAGCTATTGGACACTCTTTTTCCAGTGGTTTGCCTAATATAAATGTCTTTGCTCTTGAACTGGATGAAAAAAAAGATGAGCTTTTAAAAATTACATCTATAACCAAGTTTACCTGGATCTATCACGAGCCCACTTTCCAGAATACTAACAATGAATCGGCCTCAGGTTTATTTTTTTTTTTGAAAGGTGGTGAAACATTTACTCAAAAGTAAATACTGGGCCATTGAGGTAAATATACAATCGACCGATTTATGTGTGCATTTCTAGTGAAGGGAAGATGCAGAAGTGAAGTACTTGCTGCGGGCTTGGTAGAAAATTTGCTACATAAAAAAAAAAATTTAAAATATGTTATAGAAGTACACAGTGCTTTGCCAGCCCTGATCAAAGTTAAAGCTGTATGAATTAATTTATAAAGTGAAAACTTGAGTTATTTATAGATGTGAGATGAATTTGGCAATAGTTTAAGTCCAGAGAGTTAAAACTTTTCTTTGAAAATGTCAGAATGTTTTGAAAACATTTCAATCCTTATTTTTACAGCAAATGTTCTGCAAATCTCTCACGCTTCCCCTCACGCTTTTTTAAGGTTAAAATAAAAAGACAAGAAGCACTGTAAATCAAAACAAAATGAATCTATGGTATTTTAGATGAGCCAAAATAAAATTTCCTAAGAACTGTTTCCCTCTGGGAAAAATAAACATTTGAGTACCAAGACTATGCCAAATAATTCCCCTCCCCCCATGTTTGTTTTTTTATTTTTAATTTGACTAGAAGACCACATAATGAATTGTTTATACTCTACTATGAAAGCCCATTCCCAACCAAAAGGAAATTACAGACTGAACAAGATATGGGGTGAAACAGGGAGAGCAGGTTGGGTTCTTAAGAAATGGTGAGAATAAATTTAATGGGCTAAATTATTTTATAATTCTAATCCAAAGGACAATTTACATCAAACAATTGTTCCTTCAAAGAATTTCTGGGCCTTCTCTCTTACAAAGTTGTCTGGCAAATACATGGATAAAAAATAGCTCACATATTTTGAAACAAGACATGAAAAGATCTTCTTTTTTCCTTTCTCTGCCTATTTCCGATGAAAATACATGCTTTTTCCAAAATCCAGCAAGAGTGAACACTGATTCTGTGACTTCTTATAGGCAAAGATTCATCCCTGTCCTAAAAATCTGTCTCTGAAGTTCACCCGACTCATGTTTTTTCCTGCATCGCATTTAACGGCAATGGTACAAACTCAAGCCAAGACTTCTGCTCTCTTCGCATCACTTCCCTCTCACCGTCTCTTTGCAGCTGAGTTTCTGAATAGGTTTTTCCCCACTGAATGCCCTTTCCAGTCTCTTCGAAAGAGATGGGGGGGTTGTGCAGCACTGTGCGTAGTGGGACCTCAATTTCTGCTTGCAATTGCCATAGCAATGAAGCAAGGTCTTCCCTCCAAGTTGAGAGCATGGTGGTGACGAGGGGACACGGTGTTATGTGACCCACTGTCCAGCTCCTGGTTGCTTTTTTTGGAGTGCAAATTGTCATTTGCACATTTTATGATTGAGGCAGTTCATGAATTGCATGTTGTATGGAGTCCACGATTAATTACCTGAACATTTGTAGCCCCTGTTGTATTACAAACACAATATAATTAGGTCTGACTGAGGAGAAACCACTTGGGGGAAAAAGTCTTGTCATTGGTAATTTCCTCCTTTTTAGCTCCTTGATCTCCTAATCTGCATCAGAGATTTTGTTCTCATTTGATTTGGTTTTTGTTTTGCTTTGAATTAGCATGAGCCAGGAAGCAGGCCATGTGAGAGCGGCGGGAATAAACTATGTGAGCACAGATCCCACTGCTCTTGGCATGAATATTAAAACTGCCATCTTCCTGCCCTAGATAGCTGTTGGTGTTAGGTTAGTCAGGCAGGGTTCCCGGAGCATAAAGAAACAGAATTGCTCCTGCTCATCAGAAAAAAAAAATAGGTTGGTTTTTTTTTTTTAAGGAATGCATGGGGGGAAATGCTCTTTTTTTCAGCAGGCTCTGGGTTACACTTTCTGACAAGCAAACATAAAAGCAAGCTGGATACATACCCCCCGTGTGCAGTGGCCCAGGAGAGCTCAGACGGCCATGAAGCCCCAGGAGCACATCTCAGAGGATAGATGGGGTTTGCTCACGCTCTTCTTCTCTGCCCTTTCTGCAGGCGTCCAGCACCCGGCCAGAGTGCAGCATCATGCAAGAGATTGAAGAGGAGCGCAGCCAGTGCTTGGCAGAGCTTATTGGGGATAACCAGACTTCAGGTATGGGGACGGTCTCTTCTCTCCCTGACCTGCAAGCCAACATCACCCAGCCTCACATCTTCCTTGCCCATACCATTTCTCATGCCTTCTGCTGCTGGAGCAGGGCAGTCACTCCGGCTGATGTTGAACTCTTACATTAGGAGGGGGAGAAATAGGTACTTCCAAAGTATGACTCAGTCAAACAAGAGTCTGAACAGCTCGCTGGGGATCACTCCCTGCCTCCCAGCTGCATAAGGCTAGCTTAGGTGTCTCAGTGTGTTTCATCAGAGTCAGTCATCCATCTCTTTGAACTGGAAGTGCCTTAACCAGTTTTCCCCTGGGATCTGAAAACCTAAAGTTCTCATAGGCCTTGGTTTGCTTCAAGGGAAGTCATGGTGACATTCTGCTTCTGTTGAACTGCCCTCCCATCCCCGTGCCAGAATTGCTCTTGTCCTGGTGGCCAAGCAGAGGAAGAAAGGGTGTGCTCCAAGGCTGCAAGGTATCTATGAAGTTGGGCCAGGCAGCCAAGATCCTCTCCTTGTTCACATGACATGGAGCACACACCACATCGGGCAAGCCCTCCTGGAAGGCTCTGCAGTCCCTTTAACCTACTCCCTGCTTCTGTGACCAAGAGAGAAGGGTCAGGTCAATGATGGCTTTGCTTTCCAGCCTCCCAAGGTTTCTCCACTGGCCTCAGGCAGCAGTCATGGAACGGTGCCACCTTCAAGGAGCAGGCATGGCGCACCATCCATTCTGCACATGGGGTGCCAGAGCAGTAAAGAGGCTGCGGGATGTGGCTGTGACTGGAGCAGCTGCAAACCAACCTGTGAGACAGGACATGGGTGGGCAATGTTGAAAAGTTCTGTGCTAATGCAAGTCCCCAGTGGGCAGCCTGCGAAGAGCTTGGGAGATTTTGGCACAGCCACCCATGCTCTGTCCTAAATTGTAGACAACAGTGTGGCAGTGAAAGAAAGCTTTCGGGTTTGGTGCTGTCCCTTCCCATCCTGTCCCATCCCATCCTGCAGCAGTGCTGTCAAAGCCTCATGTTGAGGCATCGAGTTGGACTTCTCCCTCTCCAAGTGCCTCTCTCAAGTTACAGGTCCTGGTTTTGTGAGTAAAGGAGATGTAGGGACCAGTAGTAGGCTGTCAGGCTCCAAAACCAAGGGATCATCCCACCCCTTCCCCCAGTAAAGTGATATTGCTGGGGGAAGGGGTGGGAAGATGCGTATCCTGCTTGATCTTTGCATCTCATCTCCCAAAAGAGGCAAAGTGGAAGAGGATGTCTTCTCATCCTCTCTCCCTTGGCATTGCTTGCAGTTAGGCTATGGACTGAAAGACTCTTCTGCACAATACCACTTAATGATAGAATAGCATCCTGGGGACAAGATGATCCCTGGAGGAGCTTTACTGAATGCAAGGATAGCTTTTGGCCCCTGCATTTATCTACTAAGATATGGTTTTCTTTGATTTGGAGACTATTTCATGTGTCCCTTTACAGTTAAATGGAGCCATTTGAAGAAATGTTCTCCTGGAAAGGATAAAAACGTTCATCTGAAAGCCCACTAAATGCTTCATTTCATTTTCATGGGTATTTAAAGAAATTCAATTAAATACAGTACATTCAAAATAGAAGAATAAATACTTGAAATGTTAATTTTTTTTTCTGCTTTTTCAAAGTGATTTTTTTTTCATTGGAAAGTTTAATCCAGAACCAGTTTTTTTTTTCTCTTCACTGAATTAAACCATTGAAAATATTTTTCCCCATTCTGATGTAAAAACACACGCAGTCATGTTGCAAGCCCTTAATGCCCAAGCACTAGCAAGTATATAAGAAGCCTTCAGAGTTTGTTTTTCATAATGGAATGCTGAGATATTGGATTGGGATAATTCTGCATTTTCACTGGTCACTGCCCATATTCATTAAACGGGACTGATGGTTGAGAAATCACAGTTGTGAGCACTATAACATGGTTTTTGTCCATGGAGACAGTACCTGCTACTCCTGAGTTAATGTCAGATGTCATCTGCGTATGTCTGCATGTCCTGGGTAGAAATGGTCATTGATGACACCGGTGTGGAGCAAGAGTGTGTAGGGACACAGCGGGCGTCCAACCAGATTTTATAATGCCAACTGTGTGGAAAGCAGTTGCCATCCATTGGCACTAAAACGTCAGCAGGTATGTAAGGGTCAATACCTGACTCAGCCAGGCATTCGTGGCTGCCCTTGCAATCCACAGAAAGAAACCGGCACCCCTGGCGTGTTGGCTCTCAAATGGGTGACAATGGGTGAATCATCTTATGGAGACATCTGCTCTGAAAGTGGTGTGGAGAGGTAACTTCAAAGCACCTGCATGGCATGTGTTTCCCCTTGGAGTATCCAAGGCACAGCATGTATATATGGTAGAAAAAGTTGTTTTTCTGGAGGGGGGCTCCATAACTCAATAAATGTAGCTGAGCACAGCTGCAAAATAAGACTTTGAACTTTGGTGGTCGGAGGCGAAGGGGAAGTTTGGTGGGGAGAAATCTTATGAAGGTGATAACATGAGATCATACGAAGGTGATGACTGTTTAGACTGAGTGTTGCTGGAAAGAAAAAACCCTCGTAAAACTCCCAGGAAAAATCTAATTTTAACACGGTTCAGTCAGAAGGAGAATGGAAATCAATTGAGATTCCCTGCCATCTGTAATGTAATACCTTGATTTATAGCCAGGTAGGTGTATTGCCTGCTACACATTCCACATCCTTTTAGCAAGAAGAAAATCACTTGAGGTTTAACAACCGATTTGTTATCCTTTCTAATTAAATGAGAGGAAATAAGGAAACACACCATTTCGGTACAGTCTGGAAATAAAGCTTTGTTTAGAAGCCATTATGAATAGTATTGATCAGAGGGGCTTAATCACAGATGTAATTTGATGTGTCAGATAGATTAGTCACTTATTAAGAACACCTGATGGTGGTGCTGAGATTGATGACCAGGATGAGCAAGTAGATTTCCACCGATAAACAATAACATCTGCCTTAATGTATTTTGTCTTCGAGCCCCCATTCCTTAGGCTGGGTGTATATGCACGGGTGAAATCGATCCCTTCTTTTCAAATGAAACCTCGGTGTTTTCAGTGCTGGTAGTAGATGCCAATTGCTCTTCCCCATGTCAGCTGTTTATTATTAGCAGGGTGGGAGACTCTCTATTCCCTATTAGGAGTGTGATTTGGTATCGGTGAAATTACCCGCATTTGAGGAGACTTTAGCAGGGGCGCAGGAGAGATGTGGGGGTCGCAAAAGTGTGACCACCTCTGATGTGAAAGGCTTAGCTTTTCAGCACAGGAAGGGCTGCAGGAGATGCAGCTAGGGAGAAAAGAGCAGGGAAGGCCAGTTTAAGCTGGCAGTGTGTACACAGGAGAATAAAACGGCTGTGAGATCAAAGTCTGGACTTTAAAGGAAGTTTGTAACCATCAGAGGATACTGAACAGCCTTTCTGGAGGTCTGCGGGGCAGGAGTGTTTTATTGACTTCATGGCAGAGCTTGCCCAGTTTATGGAAGGGTGTGTAGGACGCAGTTGTGTATTGCAGCAGAGGATTGGGTTTCGTGAGCAGGCCTGCCCTTGCAGCCCTCTGCCCTGTTATCCTTTTACCTCCACGCTGAAATAACCGGCAAAGATGTAAAGTGACAATTGTGGTTCAGTACAGAAGCGGATGCCATGCCATTAAAGTCAAGACTGAGTAGACTGAGACTGGTTCATTTCACACGGGCAAATAGCTGTTGCGTGGGGATGGCTTTTGGTGAGGGGCTTCTTTCACTCGATTTTAGGTAGCTCTAATGTATTCTGGCCAAGCGTAGGCGTTTCTTTTAGGATGTGATGAACCATGTGCAGATTGTCTTGCCTGTTGATGAGATCTTCATTTGTTATGAGGGGATTCTTAGTGAGCAGCTTACCTGTGTGGGAAATAACCACACTTTGCAGATGATTCCTGTCCTGGTGTTCACCGGCCTGGAGGGGATTTGGCCAAATGAGGTCAAGTCCCAGTTCCATCATTAGGAGTGATGAATCTGTTCGTTCACATACAGAACTGCATTTCAGGAAGCTAAACTTTCATTTGGGTATTTGTTAGATAATCTTCCCAGCCCTTTGGCCGCCGAGGAGTGCTCACAATATAATTTGAGGCATTCTTCAAAACATCTTCTGAAAAACCTGTTGATGTGCCAGTGGCAGGATTCTTCCCTGCTCAGTGCAAGGGGTGACGTACAAAATGCCTCGTCTCAGCCTCGGTGCAGACTGTGTTCCTCTTTAGGCTCCACTCAGTGGGGTTGCTTGCACCATTTCTGTGAAGTGATACAGAAGACTTTTAGCTGGGTTTTGACGTGTTTTAAAATGAGGTTTGGTTATTCCTCCTCTTATCACACAGAGGAGGAGAAAGTGCTGCTGGATTGCATCACACACAGATGTACCCCAGTGCTGGATTAGTGAAATCTGTAGTTTCATTATGTGCAAGGTGTCTGGCTTTCCTTGCAGAAAATGGGCCGTTCTCCTGGCAGGCATGGCTGCGATGCGCTAGATAAAATACCATGAATGACACAGAACACGACTGCTTGTAATGACATCATGCAAATGTGAATCATTAGCTGGGGATGCCTTAATTTCCCACCCTAAACATGTTTTAATCCTACTCCATGCTGGTCTCACAGTTGGTGTCTCTGCAAACTTTGCCTCACTTGATGTCTGTAGATTATTGCAACTACAGCAGCGCTCTTGGTGCAGTTAAGGTGACTCCTGGGTCTCTTGGCCTTACTTTTCCTCCTTTAAAATAGAAATGTTAATATTTTCCTATCTGTCAGGGGTAAGGTAAGGACAAACAAACTGAAAAGCATCCAGCTATTTTATGATTGGGACTTAACAAAAGTACTGTGGGTAGACAGAGGAATAGGAAACACGGTATTTTGGCAGCACCCACAATTTAAATTCACAGGAAGCTACTATATATCTGGGTAGAACACCCCAAAAGAGAAAATTCATGTCATC